TAAACTTGGGATCCAAAGGGATTGCATGTATTTTCCAAAAATTATCATATGAAATGGAACTTCAATCATTGAAAATGATATGAGTCCCATGCCCAGGCAAACAAGGGAGGAGACTCCAATTAGTAGTAGGGGTGTGCAAAGGAACCTAGAACTGCTCGGATCACTCGGAACCGGACCGGATCGGCTCGGAACCGGCGGTTCTCGTGAGGATCGGTCCGATTCCCGGTTCTAATTTACTAAAACCGGTGAGTACCGGTCCGGTTTCCGGTTCTAGCCCGGACTAGATCAGTAATATATAAAATTTCAACAAAAAAAAAAGAAACATTTTTAGACAAATGAAAACCATTAAATCCCTAATCCGAAGCTCGACTTTCAACTTCCATCAACTCTTGGCCACACCTCTAACCGTTCTTCGCCTCCCTCTCTCACTCTCGGTCATCTTCATTTGCATAAAACTTGGTGGGTCCATGGAACAACAAGCGATTCCTAATTTCAACTTTGCGAAATCGGTCCTTAGTTGACGGTTCCCGATTCCATGTTAGGGTCCGCCCGCTTGACCATTCTCACCCCTAAGTAGCAGTAGGGTCCAGACGCACTCCTCCATCCTCACATTCACCATTAACAATCGTAATCCTCTTCTTTACTGCTCTCTCTCTCTCTCGACCACTAAAACATGAACGAAGAAGCGGAAGTGATCATAGTCGGTGGCGGCCCCTCCGGCATCGCCGCCGCGGGGGCCCTCTCCTCCCTCTCCATCCCCTTCCTCCTCCTCGAGCGGGCCGACTGCTTCGCCCCGCTGTGGCAGCGCCACGCCTACGACCGCCTCCACATCCACCTCCCCAAGCACACCTGCCAGCTCCCGCACGTGCCGATCCCCGCCGACTGGCCCAGGTACCCTCCCAAGTCCCTCTTCGTCCAGTACCTCCAGCACTACGTCGCCCACTTCCGCATCAGCCCGGTCTACAACCGGTCCGTCGAGTCCGCCCGCTACGACGACGCCTCGGGCCGGTGGCGCGTGGCGGCCAGGGACGTGTCGGCCGGCGGCGAGGGGGCGGTGGAGGAGTACAGAGCGAGGTTCCTGGTGGTGGCGACCGGCGAGAGCTGCGACGCGTTCGTGCCGGAGGTGGAGGGGCTGGGGAGTTTTGGCGGGAAGGCGATGCACTCGACGGAGTACAAGAACGGGAAGGAGTTTGCAAAGAAGAAAGTGCTGGTGGTCGGGTCGGGCAATTCGGGCATGGAGATCGCGCTGGATTTAGCCGACCATGGTGCCATCACCTCCATCGTCGTCCGGAGTCCGGTGATTAATTACCGGCTTTTCTCCATATACGGAGCACGCACGCATGCATACGTACACCGTGCTATACACTAATACCCACGTTATGTGATTTTCCTCATTTGGAGTTTAGAAACACATTTTATAGACATGTTCTCCGTGTACAACGGATACGCAACCGATCATGGTGCATGATTTATATGGAAAATCGCCATTTTTTGTGAGATTGAGCGTGAGTTTTCGCATACTTTTAATACGGGGACGATTGATCTAGTAGAAGGAGTCTAGATGATATGAAGCTCATGAGAATGAAAAACATAATTCCATTGATTGCGCTCTAGCTTTTTCTGATAGGCTACGTTTGGTACCGAGAAATAAGATGGGTTAGAGGAAATATACTACACATAAGGTTGTTCATGGTGATCACTGCGGTTGTGGTTGCAACCGCACAAGCGCACACATGCGCGTGCGAGTGTGAGGGGGAGATCTTTCCAAGCTCAGACATGAGTTTTACACTTGCTGTAAGGAGTGCGATTTAATCTAGTGTAGGAAATGAGATTGATAGATAATATCGGAACACTTACGGGCGAAAAATTGAGGTTGGAACATGAAATTGGCGTTGGATTTTCTTTAGGGAATGGCCCTCGCCGGAAAGGAAAAAAAAAGAAAAAAAAAGCAAAAAAGACGAAAATACCCATTGACTAAATACATTGGGGTAAATGTGTCACAAAAAGCAAAGTTCGGGGTTTTTGGTGTCACAAAAAAAAGTTCGGGGTAAATGTGTCACAGATGGCAAAGTTTGGGGTTTTTGGTGGTTTTTTCCCTTTTCTTTATTAGATAAGAGGTTAATGTACTTATGGTGCATATGTGGATCAAATCTCTTTGTATGGAGGGGTTTCGTGGCTTTTCTTCTTCTCTGTTTTATGTTTTTTGGGCGATTTGCGTGACTTTGCAGGTCAATTTTGTAACAAGGGAGATGTTGAACTGGGCGGTGGTGATGGTGAAGTACTTGTCCTTCAATTGGGCCGAGAGATTGACGATGATCGCGAGCCGCCTGTGGTTCGGGGACATGAGCAAGTTCGGCATCCCGAAACCCGAGGAGGGCCCTTTCACCATGAAAATGAAGTATGGCAAGTACCCTCTTGTCGATGTTGGCACTTGCAAGAAGATCAGATGCGGAGAGATTCAGGTACTCGTGTCTTTTAATTATTATCATTAAGGATTTTGCAAGGAGATATGAGAAGTTTTAAGCTATTGTCTGAACAGTTTCACTGATTGCAAGATTGATATAAGGTGAATATGTTATTAAGGCCTGTTTAGTAACGTTTCTGTTTCTTTGTTTTTATGTTCTTTTGTTCCCAGAAATAGAAAAAGAATAGAAATCCGTTTAGTAACGTCAGTTAATTTTTTTATTTCCCGGAATATAAAAGTGGTCAGAAAATAGATTTGGAACAGAAATAAAAAGTAAAAAACATATTCTTTTATGTTTCTGGAACAAAAAAAGAAACAAGATCAGCTTCTCATACTAAACCCTAAACCCTGAAACCCTAAACCTTAATCCTCAAACCCTAAGCCTTAACCTTTAAACCCTAAACCCCAAAACCTTAAACCTCAATACCCAAACCCTAAAACCCATAACACTAAAATTAAAAACTCGAAACCCTAAGCCCAAATCCTAAACCCAAAAACACCCTAAAATCCCAAACCATAAACCCTAAAACCTAAACCCTCAAATCGTAATTTCAAACTCTGAATCCTAAAACGCTAAACCGCAAAATCCCAAACCCTAAACCATAAACCCCAAACCCTAAACTTTAAACCCTAATACCCAAAACCCGAATCCCTAAAACCCTAAACCCTAAACCACTAAACCCCAAATCCTTAAACCCGAAACCCGAAACACTAAATCCAAAACCCCAAACCCGAAACTCTAAAAGCTAAACCCAAATCTTAAACCCTAAATCCAAAACCTAAAACCCGAATCCCTAAACCACTAAACCCCAAACCCTTAAACCTGAAACCTGAAACACTAAACCCAAAACCCCAAACCCGAAATCCTAAAACCCTAACCCCTAACCCCAAATCCTAAAATCCTACATCCTAAAATGCAATTTCCTTAACCACCACCCGATATTTGCTTTATCTATAATGAGTAATTTTCTTTATAATTATATTAAGGTCATTCAATTCTATATCATAATATATTATATTATTCTATTTCTAATCCAATTTTATCCAAACATGAATTGTTAAGTCTCCTAAACTGCAATTTCATCGATCACCATCCAGTATTTGCTTTGTGAGTAATTTTCTTTATGATTGTATTAATGTCATCCAATTCTATATCATAACGTATTCATATTCTATTTCTAGTCCAATTTTATCCAAACATGAATTGTTAAGTTTCCACAGATAATTTTATAATTAAATAAAAAAATTGGGAGTAGAAATTTTTAGTGTCCTATCAAACGTATTTCTGTTCTTTTTCTACTCCGGGAATAGATATTTTTTGCAGTTACTAAACGTGTTTTTTGTTTAGAAACTTGTCTAGGGAATAGAAATAGAAAAAGCTATTTTTGAATAGAAATTGATTTTGGGAATAGAAACGTTACTAAACAAGACCTAAGGAGCTTGAGATTTGCTTGAACTTGGACGACATGTTACATTCTTCTGCAGGTTTTGCCAGCAGTCAAAAGCATAAAAGGCAACGAAGTGGTGTTCGAGAATGGACACTCGCATTCGTTCGATGCCATTGTGTTCGCCACCGGCTTTAAGCGGCCGACGAAACAGTGGCTCAAGGTCAAGGTACCCGGCTCTCTCTCGAATTTGTCGTTCACTTCATGACGCAAAAAGATAGCTTTACCTTCTTTCTTCCTTTCCAATTTTTGGTTAAGAGATATGGTTGTACTCAATGTTAATTCGATGGCTTCCAAAACAGTATTAAAAATTTCTTGTAGTTGGCACATATAGCTGATTTGAGTACAGTGGACGGACGGTAGATGTGCCGATACTTTGTAAATGATTGTCCGGGACTATGATCGACTGACTGTTCACATAGAAGTTATAGAGCAGATCATGCAGTTCTCACTTTGTTTCCCTTCCTGATGACAGGAAGAGGATTGCCTGTTGAACGACGATGGAATCGTGAAGCCGAGTTGTCCAAACAAGTGGAAAGGAAAGAATGGCTTATACTGCGTGGGACTGTCGAGAAGAGGGTTCTTGGGAGCTGCTCTCGATGCCCAAAGCGTTGCGAACGACATCAAGGGGCTTCTGTGATGTCGCCCGGTATGGCAAGAGAATTGCTGCCGAAACCGTTGCAAGACAACTGCAATTTGATACATTGAATAAATTAAAAGTTGGGAGACGATATTGCACATTGAACCAAAATTAAAAAATTCTTTGTGTCATTTTCCCTTCTTTTACGATAACATGTAGCACACATTCCTTTATCAAAACGATGTTTATCAATAGTTAAGACATCGATGGAAATACCATGGCGGGTAGATGATCTTCTTCCAACTTGCTTCCATACACTCACCTTGTCAATGTTGAAGGCAAAAAGAGAATAATCAACCAAGGATAAAACTAGGAGCGAAGAAGCAAACTGTAAACACTTTCAAAGATCAGTCAACTTTGATAAGGCTAGATAAACTCGCACCGGTGAAAGTGAATTCAAAAGTGCTATAGCAAGGTAACAGAAAAAGATATGCATATAACAATTCAAGTATTATTAAAAAAATTCATTCATTACGATCTGTTCACGATCTGTTCGACCCGAGATATGGAATTACTCGGTTGTCAAAATTTAAAATAAAAAAAAAAGACTACGATAATTTACATGTAGAACCGCTCATAATTCGATCTCTACCTGATAAAAGAAAAAATTGATCAAGAATCACACAGGCTCGAAAAATAATATCATCCTTATCGATGATGCAACCCTGCCTCTAGTAGAGATGCTATAAGGGTGAAAAAAAATTAGGCCGACTTCGACTGTCTGTTAACTATGCCCACAAAATTCCATCATTCCCGATTTCCAAACTTGAAACTGGGCTATCGCCGAAATCTTGCTCTACTTTTTCATTATCCGTTAGCAAATCCACATAAGGTTCTAAAAGATCTGAAGATCTTTCGGCTGGAATCCCATAATCTTTGAGAATGCAGGACGAGGCCGCCACAGCTGCTTCTCTCTCCAGGACAGCCAGATAGTTGTCTTCAAATTCAAAAACTAGGTACTTGTCTTTACATGCTAAGAAAACCAGTGAACAAATTAGGAGTGTCATAGTAACCAAGGTCGTATTAAGAAGGGAAAGGGAGCAAATGTCATCACTTACAGTCAATGAGGTGGGCGAGGTGATGAATGTTTTTTATTCGAGTGCCGTTGAACTTCAAGACCTGATAATACTTCCTCTTGAGTACATGACAAATACTAATATAAAAAAGCTAACATACGTGCAGTGCCATATTACCTGTTGATTGCTCATGTCTTCATATCCTATGTTTACTTCGTTTGCCAGCACCTATACATATGAAAAGGGATGAAGAATTACAGTCGTGATTGAATGAGAAGGATCTGGGAGACTGCAAGATATAGTTCTCCAGATGGAATAAGACAGGAAAGGAAAGCAAAACGATTGTTTTTCTTTTGTTTGTTGATGTCTAATTTTCGGAGTAGATTTGATTGGAATTTCATAAAGCCTCGAGGGAAATCATATAAATATAGATACTACTAACCTGCGATAGGATCACAATTTGTTCACCTTTAAACCTTGCCAAAGAATAGCGAGCCTTTGCTAATAATTTTAGCTGCCACAAAGAGCACATGTAAAACTTATTTCAGATGGTTAATTACAAGAATATCCTGTACTTTTGCTCTGAAAAAAAATCATAATTCTGAACAGTACATGATAATATTATTCGTCATATCATCAACCATGTAAAAAGTGTTACTAGAAATGCTTATGACTTACCCCTATAGAATCTTCACACTCTTCACTGTCCAAACAGTAAGAAAAGAATTTTGTCAGACATAATCACAATATAATATTAAATTCAAAATGTGAACATTATATCTAGAAGAATTTCCGGCCGGTGGAAAATTGGACCATACTCTATTAGTGGTTCTGATAGCGGGGTAAAGACCAGACCGGCTGTAATTAGATAAGAAGGCTGACCCCCTTCGATATGATAGGGAACCTACATAAACCATACAGGATTGTCACAAAGGAGAGTTTCAGAAACTATAAAACGTTATGTAGAGATAAAAGTCTATAGTAATTTACCAAATGAACTCGTGGATTCAAAATTACAGGAACTTTCATGAACCCCCCCTGCCCTAATAATGCCAAGCTGTGCTACATCACCAGCAAATCTGCGTAACATCACATGTCGTCAATAAAAGCACGAGTATTGAACTGTCTTGACATCTTGGGGCTATAGCTTCTATGAAGGACAATAGTTTCGATTGTGATGACAGAACGCAATGAAAAACCTAAAAGGAGCATATATGCATTACAAGAAATGCATACTAAGAATGGACGGACATAAGAATATGACCCTTTTCTCTTTCTATTAAGGAAAAATAAATTCCTCCCTATATATATTTTGTCAAAAGTTTCAAGTGGCAGTGATAAAACCTGCTTCCTTGACCTTCCATTATGCACGCTAAAGTGTCTCGTCATTCCAAGATGACACTTATACACCACATTATGATAATAAGGCCTATGCAGAGCAAGTACAAATCATTGGCAGCAATCTCACAAATTGCGTAATTATAACTGATTTATATGTGAATGACTCCACTATGTAATGCATCTCATTCACATCTCAATGACATAAGAGATGGACATAACTAGTCTTTTGATGACTCAAAACTCCACCACAAAACAAAGAGCTGGGAAGCATGGGAAAGCCCTAAAATGAACAAGATTGAGCCAACATTTGATTGTCGTAGGTACTAGACTAACATGAAGTTTCATGGGAATATCTTTCCCCTTTGACATCTGCTTAGAAGAATGAGCTCCTTACTTCTGACTTATTAGGTAGCGGAAAGCAATGCGCTCAGATGATCGGAATGGCACAGTTCCTTCGCACCCAACATGAACATCATCAAAGCTAGTAATCACATCCCCCTGGAAAAGCATAGATACATGATCACGTGAGTTACTTAGAATACTCCAGCCACATAAGACCATTTTCCCACCTTTAACCTTTACTTTGGCATACTAGTTCATGGTGTGAATTTGCAAGCCTTTATCCCTTTAAAACATAGTTGATAGCAATTTAATGAACCTATTTAGGCAATCCATGCTTATGACAAGGGGGAAACAATTGACAGAATGAAACATTACAAGCACAACTATTGATACCAAAACCAAGTTGAAGGTTCATTTATGTTGCCTAAACAAAATTTATTTCCTGTAAAGCTCCTTACCTAGAGCTCCAACTTTTGATGGTTAAGAAAAGCAATCAATAGTATAAATAAAAGAGTTGTTGACTGTGTCAAAAGTACTCCATGAGTCAGAAGGATACCTCTTTTAAAACATTATTTGCATCAGATGTTGGTTCCACTCTTCGTACCAACACCCCCTGCACATGTGCGATTCTTATGAGGATGGTGTGTAACAACACTAACAGCAGATGCAAGCTCTTGAACCCTCATGAACACAAAAGAAGGGGAAAGTAGCACTAAGGAGGCTGCATTTACTCTTATTCATGACATGCAGCAATTTGCTAATAAAAGGCAGAGCGAATCAGAACTCTGATATTTTCTATAGTCTCAGACGCCCTTGAAGATATATAAATTATGAAAACAGGCATGAAAGACAAATGACAGCTACAATATCGATGGAGCCAGATGATGGGTTTCAGAAAATTAAAACATGACAGGGAGGCCGTATGTGTAAAAATATGTCTTTCAGTTTATACACATAAATTTCCACTGATTTTAGTATGAAAATCAATATAAAACTACAGAAACATTTACAAAATGCCAATTAATTAAAGCACGATATTTAAACAGATAAGGACATCATTGGCCTACAAGTAATAGGGTTATAAAACAAAGCTAGCTTTCACTTCAGATATAGGTTGCTTTCAAGTTACAGGCATAATCTATCCAAATAAAGCTACCATTCAATTAATAACTATTGAGCAGAAGATGGGCAAAATGTCATGTGCTACAAATCTAACATCTTAAACATCAATAATCAGGGCGGATAAGAAATTTTATCGTGCTGAATTTATCCCAAAATGATGGACATGTCACTCCATTGCATAGTGATATCAGCCAAGAAGCAAGGTGGGTCCTGAATTATCCGTGTTTCATGCGACAGATGATTGGACACGTTAAATTGCCAGTAACTACATATTTTGGGGCAGGGCATGCACTCTGATGGATTTGGCTAAAATATGAAAGATGCTGACTGATATAATCTGACCACTGCACCATACATGAACGAACTAACAGCAACTATAGATATGCCAATATCCATCAATAATTGCACAACTTGATCCAAGAAGGCCTTCCTGCAAATAAATGAGAGATGTACCTCGTTGGACTGTACTTTTAAGCATTCACGTAGAGCTGGATTTTCCAACTTTTGCAGCAAGACTCCAAGACAAGGAAAACCTTCATGAATAAGAAAATTGTTCCATCGATTTAACAGGTTCAGGCCATTTGACAAATTCAAATTGCTACAAAAATAGTGAGGAGAAAATGACACCAAAACAAGAAGGTTTTTAAGACATGCAAGAAAGGAGTAACAAGCTATGCCCAATAATCAGAAGGCAGAACTTCCACTTATGTTACATCAAAAATAGAGCTCTAGGTAAGGAGCTTTAATATACTACCAAAGAGCTGCCACAGAAGCCTAAGTACTACCAACAATAAATTTAACCAGCTTCTAAAAGCTTTGCAGGGGAAGAAACTTCTAGTGATAATCATTGGACAAGTAAGCAAAGTGGCAAACTGTGCATTATATGTTACAAGCTTTCAAGCTGATTTAAGCTCCAAAATTTCCACTGCTGATTATGTCAGGCTTGAAAACCATTCGCCCAGTCATACAGCTACAACTTCATGTTTACGGTACCTTTAGGTTGCTTATGTATTTTATTCAGATGAAGACGAGGTTAAGAACAGAAGACAACAGAACATGAAACACGCACTCATGACCACTTAATCCTCACCAGTATATTTCCCATTTCGCTCGTAGTCATTCAAAAAGTGAGACACGACTGTTGTTGGAATCACATAACCAATATTTTCAGCCTCTTCGGATCTGTAAACCTAAAAGAAAAGCTTTGTAAGAACGTTTATCCAAGAAGAGCTCCATATTGACTTAGCCAAGATAAGAGCACCACAGCTCTTAAGCTAATTTTTCCAGAAGCCATAGATTTACCTGGAATGCTACCCCGATGCACTCTCCTCGATCATTGAATGCAGGTCCACCACTATTACCTACACTCTCACAAATATGAGCAGAGGCCGGTACAAAAAATGAGTTCCAAGATTTATGGTAAAATAAAGGTTTTATTATTAGGATAACTGTCCTTTAGAGAATGCATGAAGACATTCACAATGGAAAAAGATCCACCAACCAGGATTAATTGCTGCATCAATTTGTATTCCCAGCAAATCAGATGATCCATGAGCGTAAGATGTTACCTGATGACATGTACTTCAATCTTAAGATATGGACTTCACAGACAAACTCAATAACAAAAAGGCTTCAATGTTATAGCATGAGCAGACCATGTCAGATACAGCAGTTAGTTTGGAGTGCTACATGCAATATCCAAGAGATTAGCTAGAGTAAACTTGTAATCAAACTCTTCAAATTGATCAACATCGTAACACTATGGGCCCAACAGACAACATGTTCACTCTCAGACCATTTAGACATGCAATCGTACACGATCTAGCCCTTTTGTAAAATGACCGTGAATCATTCCATTGTCACGCATGTCAACAAACAAAGGACAAGAAGATATTTATAGAGGTACAAGACTCCCCAGCAAACTAGTTTTGCACAGCAAAAGGCAGACGATAAAACATTTAGTGAACATTTGTCATACGGGTCATCGAAGAATAGAAGCAATGTTCATTACTTATCAGAAAATAATACATTTGAATGTGAATGCCAAACCTCTATACGAGATACAACCCCTTTTGTTACGGAAATGAAACATTTTTAGACAAATGAAAACCATTAAATCCCTAATCCGAAGCTCGACTTTCAACTTCCATCAACTCTTGGCCACACCTCTAACCGTTCTTCGCCTTCCTCTCTCACTCTCGGTCATCTTCATTTGCGTAAAACTTGGTGGGTCCATGGAACAACAAGCGATTCCTAATTTCAACTTTGCGAAATCGGTCCTTAGTTGATGGTTCCCGATTCCATGTCAGGGTCCGCCCGCTTGACCATTCTCACCCCTAAGTAGCAGTAGGGTCCAGACGCACTCCTCCATCCTCACATTCACCATTAACAATCGTAATCCTCTTCTTCACTGCTCTCTCTCTCTCGACCACTAAAACATGAACGAAGAAGCGGAAGTGATCATAGTCGGTGGCGGCCCCTCTGGCATCGCCGCCGCGGGGGCCCTCTCCTCCCTCTCCATCCCCTTCCTCCTCCTCGAGCGGGCCGACTGCTTCGCCCCGCTGTGGCAGCGCCACGCCTACGACCGCCTCCACATCCACCTCCCCAAGCACACCTGCCAGCTCCCGCACGTGCCGATCCCCGCCGACTGGCCCAAGTACCCTCCCAAGTCCCTCTTCGTCCAGTACCTCCAGCACTACGTCGCCCACTTCCACATCAGCCCAGTCTACAACCGGTCCGTTGAGTCCGCCCGCTACGACGACGCCTCGGGGCGGTGGCGCGTGGCGGCCAGGGACGTGTCGGCCAGCGGTGAGGGGGCGGTGGAGGAGTACAGCGCGAGGTTCCTGGTGGTGGCGACCGGCGAGAGGTGCGACGCGTTCGTGCCGGAGGTGGAGGGGCTGGGGAGTTTTGGCGGGAAGGCGATGCACTCGACGGAGTACAAGAACGGAAAGGAGTTTGCAAAGAAGAAAGTGCTGGTGGTCGGGTCCGGCAATTCGGGCATGGAGATCGCGCTGGATCTAGCCGACCATGGTGCCATCACCTCCATCGTCGTCCGGAGTCCGGTGATTAATTACCGGCTTTTCTCCATATACGGAGCACGCACGCATGCATACGTACACCGTGCTATACACTAATACCCACGTTATGTGATTTTCCTCATTTGGAGTTTAGAAACACATTTTATAGACATGTTCTCCGTGTACAACGGATACGCAACCGATCATGGTGCATGATTTATATGGAAAATCGCCATTTTTTGTGAGATTGAGCGTGAGTTTTCGCATACTTTTAATACGGGGATGATTGATTTATAACAGAATGCGTCTAGACGATATGAAGCTCATGAGAGTGAAAAACATAATTCCATTGATTGCGCTCTAGCTTTTTCTTATAGGCTACGTTTGGTACCGAGAAATAAGATGGGTTCGAGGAAATATACCACACATAAGGTTGTTCATGGTGATCACTGAGGTTGTGGTCGCAACCACACAAGCGCACACATGCGTGTGCGAGTGCGAGAGAGAGATCTTTCCAAGCTCAGAAATGAGTTTTACGCTTGCTGTAAGGAGTGCGATTTAATCTAGTTTAGGAAACGAGTTTGATAGAAAATATTGGAACACTTTCGGGCGAAATATTGAGGTTGGAACATGAAATTACCGTTGGATTTGCTTGATAAGATAGGAGGTTAATGTACTTATGGTGCATATGTGGATCAAATCTCTTTGTATCGAGGGGTTTCGTGGCTTTTGTTCTTCTCTATTTTATGTTTTTGGGGCGATTTGCGTGACTTTGCAGGTCAATTTTGTAACAAGGGAGATGTTGAACTGGGCGGTGGTGATGGTGAAGTACTTGTCTTTCAATTGGGCCGAGAGATTGACGATGATCACGAGCCGCCTGTGGTTCGGGGACATGAGCAAGTTCGGCATCCCGAAACCCGAGGAGGGCCCTTTCACCATGAAAATGAAGTATGGCAAGTACCCTCTTGTCGATGTTGGCACTTGCAAGAAGATCAGATGCGGAGAGATTCAGGTACTCGTGTCTTTTAATTTTTATCATTAAGGATTTTGCAAGGAGATATGAGAAGTTTTAAGCTGGTGCATGAGTCTTGAAGTTAATACAGTAGCCGTCTGAACAGTTTCACTGATTGCAAGATTGACATAAGGTGAATCTGTCATTAAGGGGCTCGAGATTTACTTGAACTCGGACGACATGTTACATTCTTCTGCAGGTTTTGCCAGCAGTCAAAAGCATAAAAGGCAATGAAGTGGTGTTCGAGAATGGACACTCGCATTCGTTCGATGCCATTGTGTTCGCCACCGGCTTTAAGCGGTCGACGAAACAGTGGCTCAAGGTCAAGGTACCCGGCTATCTCTCGAATTTGTCGTTCCGTCTCTTTCTCACTTCATGACGCGAGAAGATAGCTTTACCTTCTTTGTTCCTTTCCAATTTTCGGTTAAGAGATATGGTTGTACTCAATGTTAATTCAATGGCTTCCAAAACAGTATTAAAACTTTCTTGTAGTTGGCACATATAGCTGATTTAAGTACAGTGGACGGACGGTAGATGTGCCGATACTATATAAATGATTGTCCGAGACTATGATCGACTATGACTGTTCACATAGAAGTTATAGAGCAGATCATGCAGTTCTCACTTTATTTCCCTTTCCAATAACAGGAAGAGGATTGCCTGTTGAATGACGATGGAATCGTGAAGCCGAGTTGTCCAAACAAGTGGAAAGGAAAGAACGGCTTATACTGCGTGGGACTGTCGAGAAGAGGGTTCTTGGGAGCTGCTCTCGACGCCCAAAGCGTCGCGAATGACATCAAGGGGCTTCTGTGATCTCGCCCGGTATGGCAAGAGAATTGCTGCCGAAACCGTTGCTATATGATGCTCCTGATAGTGCAATCATTTACTCTCTATATGCAAAAGCAAAGTAACTGATCGAGGGGTGATGATTATCACCAGTTGCTTGACTACTTGATCCTGAGCGTTTTACTGAAATACAGCGAAACATAGTGCTGAGCGAATCGACAAGCGAGAGCCGACCTGTATGTTGCAGCAAAACTTGCATTCAGCAAGAGAGAATTGAGGTCACGAAAATCTTATCCTCGCTGAGCATTCAGCCAAAGACCCGTGTGAAAACCTCAGCCGAGTAAAGAACAGCGGTCGATATTTTCGTTTCTAAATTCTTCCGCGTGTCAACCATTCAACGGTGGATGTGTAAACTATTTCCGACACCGGCAGCAGACCTAATAAAGATCCATAACAGTTTTTTACCAATATGAGAATTATTCGAGTGCCGAAAAAAGGTATGAAGCGTACTCTATCAGCGATTCCCTTAGTGGGTCAAATACCAAACCACCTACAGATTAAGATAAGAAGGCTGAGCCCCCTTCAACATGATAGAGAAACTGAGAGCATAAATCGAACCCGATCATCGGAATGGCGAGATTCAGGAAATGCAAAATCCAAATTTACGTATAACAGAAGACGGGTCTCTAATGGTTCGCCGAGTCGACACGGGACTTTCTTGAGCTTCCTCCCCAGCACTGATTATTCTCGTCTTTGTTTATGTCTCGGATCAGAGCAAATTACTGTAGTTTGTCCCATCGTACATATCAAGTCCACATTCTTACGTTTTAGCCAAAAAAAAAAAAAGTCCACATTCTTATGACAAAATTTACTTAGGGTTATTTTGACATTTTGGGGTTCCTTAACTCAATTCTAACTCTATTAATCGGACGAAAATAAGTTTATTGGGAAAAAAAGTTAACCTAATTTTTTTGTTCAAGATAATATATATTTACGTTCCAAAGTATAATGTTATGGATTTTTAAGGAATCAAATTACAGTTGTCTTGACTACTTGTGAATTACTTGTTTAATAAAGTATAATTATTACTCATCTTGCGCATATGCATGGGCTTTTTGTATAACTTTTTTGAAAATATCGAGATTAGAAGAAGGGTTCAAGTTTGCTTAATATTTGGTAGATGATATTGCAGCCGAAATTAAGGGAGCATTTGTTTTGCGTATAACGAATGATTTAAAAATATTCTTAAAAATGATCCCTTGTATCACCACAAAAATGAATGAATGAAAAGTATTTTCATCTTCCATAAAAGTATTTTTCATCGACACAGAAAATGAATGATTTAGAAAATATTTTTCTGAAAATGATCCGTTGCATTGCTTGAAATAATTAGTTAATGAAAAATATTTTATTATCTTGGTGATCGAGTTCAGACAAGTTTTTGCCACTTGACGGTTTAACCTTTCTTTTTTATGGATTCACACTGTTTTATTTATTGATTTTTTTTATTAAAAAAAAAAGAGATTTCCATATATATGAATCTAAAGGGCAAAAGTACACTATAAGTACCATAACTTGTGTACGACAATCACTTTGGTGCCATAATTTTTTTTCGGATCACTTTGGTGTCAACTTTTTTGAAAAACGATCATTTTAGTGCCAATGCTGACGTGGCTCGCCGGAAATCCGATGTGGCGCTGACACGGCTCGCCGGAGAGGTCCAGTCAGCATTAAAAATAAAAAACGACGCCATTTAGCCCGCTGACGTGTACTTTTTAAAAAAAAAATTAAATTATATTTAAAAAAAAAAAAAAAAAAAAAAAGAGAGCTGGCAGCTGCCGGCGAGGGAGCCCTCGCCGCTGCTGCCGCCAACCCACCACCCGCCGGGAAGGGCCGACCCCGGCGGTGGTGGTGGGTGCAGTGGTCTGCAATCGCCGTCCCCTGGTCGGGGCCCAGCGACCCTCGCCGAGCCCAGCGAGGGCCAGATCCGGCGAGGTCGGCCTCGCCTTCGTTGGGCGAGGCCAGACCTCGCCGTCGCGACCCAGGTGACGGCGAGGTCGGGCGAGGCGAGACCTTGCCTTTGCTAGGCGAGGCGAGACCTCGCCGTCGCCTGGGTCCCGGCGGTGGTGGGTTGGCGGCAACAGCGGCGAGGGCTCCCTCGCCGCTGCTGCAACTTTTTTTTTTTAATTATTATTATTTTTCTAAAAATTAAAAAATTCGAAAAAAAGCCACATAATTTCCACATGTACAAGTCAGACCATTTTTTTTAATATAAATGCCAAGTCAGCTTTTTGGCCGGAATTTTGGCCGGAGTCACTAAAGTGATCTATTTTCCTCCGACTTGGCACCAAAGTGATCCAAAAAAAAGTTATGGCACCAAAGTGATCGCCGTACACAAGTTATGGCACTTATAGTGTACTTTTGCCGAATCTAAAGTCTATTTATACCTGTCATTTTTATATTTTGACAAAGGTAATCTCAATTGATTTTTTTGTGGTGGGCGAGGGCGACCCTCGCCGACCGGCCACCGACAGAAAGAGAAGGGAAAGAAAAGGAAAAAGAAAATCTTCAAAAAAACTTTCAAAAAATTATTTAAAAAAATATCCATGCCAGTGCCGATTGTACTACATAGGGCTGCTGGCATTCACATCAGTGATTTCCAACCTAAATTAGTTAGATGGATTGAATTGGTACTAATGTAAAAAGATTTAAAACTAAATTAGCTCAATTGAAAGGTTTAAGATTAAATTGGTACAAATGAAATAGGCTTAGCACTTTTTTGGTACTTTTCCTTATCATTCATTAGATAGTTTCTTATCTCGGAGATAAGATGTACTTGGTATGATGATGTAATGCGGTTGTGGAGGAATGGAAAGGAGTTGTTAGATTCTTCCTTTTCAAGCAATATTGATTTTTCTTTTTAGGGATAATAGAACAAATTATCCTTAAATTTTTAATTTATGCAACATAATCATTACATTTTGACTCAATGTACAATCTCGTCCTTAAACTTTTAATTTTAATTTATGCAACATGATTCTTAAATTTTTGCTTAATATGCAATCTCGTCCTTAAACTTTTAATCTGTTCAATATGATCTCTTAACTATTAGTAAACATTTAACATAATCTTTAAACTATATGAAAATGTCTAAAAGTTCAAGAATTACATTGAATATTTGATCAAAATTCAAATAACATATTAAACAAATCAAAAGTTCACAGACAACATTGCACATTCAACTAAAGTTCAGGAACCACATCGAACAAATTAAAAGGTCGGGAACGATATTGCACATTGAACCAAAATTCAAAAATTGTGTTATTTTCCTTTTCTTTTACGATAACATGGAGCACATATTCCTTTATCAAAACGACATTATCAATGGTTGAGACATCGATGGAAATACCATGGCGGGTAGATGATCTTCTTCCAACTTGCTTCCATACCCTCACCTTGTCAATGTTGAAGGCAAAAAGAGAATAATCAACCAAGGATAAAACTAGGAGCGAAGAAGCAAACTGTAAACACTTTCAAATATCAGTCAACTTTGATAAGGCTAGGTAAACTTACACCGGTGAAAGTGAATTCAAAATGCTACATCAAGGCAACAGAAAAAGATATGCATATAACAATTCGAGTGTCATTAAAAAAATTCATTCGTTATGATCTGTTCATGATCTGTTCGACCCAAGATCTGGAATTACTCGGTTGTCAAAAAAAAATTTAAAAAAATACGACTACGATAATTTACATGTAGAACCGCTCATAATTCGATCTCTACCTGATAAAGAAAAAATTGATCAAGAATCACACAGGCTCGAAAAAATAATATCATCCTTATCGATGATGCAACCCTGCCTCTAGTAGAGATGCTATGAGGGTGAAAAAAATTAGGCCAACTTCGACTGTCGGTTAACTATGCCCACAAAATTCCATCATTCCCGATTTCCAAACTTGAAACTGGACTATCGCCGAAATCTTGCTCTACTTTTTCATTATCCGTTAGCGAATCCACATAAGGTTCTAAAAGATCTGAAGATCTTTCGGCTGGAATCCCATAATCTTTGAGAATGCAGGACGAGGCCGCCACAGCTGCTTCTCTCTCCAGGACAGCCAGATAGTTTTCTTCAAATTCAAAAACTAGGTACTTGTCCTTACATGCTAAGAAAACCAGTGAACAAATTACGAGTGTCATGGTAACCGAGGTCGTATTAAGAAGGGAAAGGGAGCAAAAGTCATCACTTACGGTCAATGAGGTGGGCGAGGTGATTAATGTTTTTTATTCGAGTGCCGTTGAACTTCAAGACCTGATAATACTTCCTCTTGAGTACATGGCAAATACTAATCTAAAAAAGCTAAAATACGCACAGTGCCATATTACCTGTTGATTGCTCATGTCTTCATATCCTATGTTTACTTCGTTTGCCAGCACCTATACATATGAAAAGGGATGATGAAATACGGTCGTGATTGAATGAGAAGGATCTGGGAGACTGCAAGATATAGTTCTCCAGATGGAATAAGACAGCAAAGGAAAGCCAAATGATTGTTTTTCTTTTGTTTGTTGATGTCTAATTTTCGGAGTAGATTTGATTGGAATTTCATAAAGCCTCGAGGGAAATCATGAAAAATATAGATACTACTAACCTGCGATAGGATCACAATTTGTTCACCTTTAAACCTTGCCAAAGAATAGCGAGCCTTTGCTAATAATTTTAGCTGCCACAAAGAGCGCATGTAAAACTCATTTCAGATGGTTAATTACAAGAATATCCTGTACTTTTGCTCTGAAAAAAAAATATAATTCTGCACAGTACATGATAATATAATTCGTCATATCATCAACCATGTAAAAAGTGTTACTAGAAATGCTTATGACTTACCCCTATAGAATCTTCACACTCTTCACTGTCCAAACAGTAAGAAAAGAATTTTGTCAGACATAATCACAATGCTATGGGCAGCGTTTGACTTCTCGGGAACAACTTGAATTCGAGGTGGCGTGATGGGGTTCGGCTTGGGCTCCGTTCTAATGAATCTAGGGATGCGATCAGAATCCGATCAAGTATCTGTGGATGCTATCACTTTGTTCGTTCTGCTCCTTTGCACTTGTATCATCATTGGACATCTTCTGGAGAAAAGCAGATGGATTAACGAGTCTATTACAGCCCTTACGATTGTGAGTTCTTCGTTATGAGATCCGGAATAAATGGATTTATGATGAAAGAAGGATGCTGTGAGCATTTTTTTCACCAAAAAATGGTTTCTGGATGGTTGCTTTCTTGCAGGGTATTTGTACTGGAATTGTTCTTCTGCTCACCACAGAAGGAAAGAGCTCGCATATCTTGGTCTTCAATGAGGAGTTTTTCTTTATATATCTTCTTCCACCTATCATCTTTAATGCTGGGTAAGTTGGAGTTTGCATTTTTTTTTTTTTTGAGAGACTAGAGTTACTAACAACCATCTATCCCATCTACCTAATAGCTTGTAATAGTCTTGGAATACGAGTGAAGGTGGGACAATCCCAAAACAAGAAGAAAGGTACATCGCAAAGAAACCAAGAAAATAAAAATGGACGTCAAGCTGATGTTACTGGTTCAGTTTCAGAGAATTGAGATAAAAAATAAATTGTAAACTTTATAATTGTAAATACTTATAGCTTGCGACCAGGGCAATCATTTGTGATATTGATAGAGTGCTAATGCAGTCATTTTGCATGAAGTTTAGGAGCCTATTAACTTTTAGATTTCAGTTTGCAAACATTTTACGAGAAACTAGAAAGTCTGGTTGACTGTTTCAGTTGAGTGGTATAATACTTACTGGTAGATTTTGTTTGGTACTTTAAATTCTTCAATCCGACTTTTGACATGGAATGGCTGCAGCATTGAATAGATTATGATCAACTCGAAATTGAAAGAGTTATTTTGTTTTTTTGAAGAAATGTTTTACTTTCCTCTAAGATTGCCGAGGTGTACTGATGTATGCTCTCTCTCTCTCTCTCTCTCTCTGGTGTGTCTGTGTGATATTTGCTTGGCACATCATGCACATTACTGTTGTCTTGGATGCTGATCTATTGTTTACAGAAGCCATCATAATTTGTGTACTTGTAATTACTTTGCATCATTCTGGGATAGGATAACATATAATTTAGTTTCACTTTCTTTCCAATGCTTTATTTGCAATTTTCATTTCCCCAGGTTTCAAGTTAAAAAGAAGCAGTTCTTCAGAAATTTCATGACAATTACTCTATTTGGGGTGGTTGGTACTCTGATATCCTTCTTTATCATATCACTAGGTATGTCCTGAATCTAATGTGGCAAACTTCTAGTTCATTACAGATTAGGCTAGAAATTTCCTTTGTCCAGGTGGAACCTCTTGAATTTCATTGATTTTGTAGAATCCGCGCACTGTTAATTGTTTTTAGGTATGTACACCGCACTGCATGATGATTTTGTTGCAGTGAAAGAGTCAAGAAAATCTGGAGAACTATTCTAGTTTTATATTTAGCATACTGGTATTGGCCCAAAAAAGGAACAGAAAATGTTAGCACCCTGGCTAATTTCCCATGTAATTAGGAAACAAGATCATTGTTACTATTCATTTTGAAAGACCATTATTGTCTTAGAGCATCTCTCAAGAGTCGCTGCTAGTTCGTCAGCCATAGAGGGCTATTTTACTTTTCGGGTCAAAATTCTTGCATAATGCCTCTCTGTTGCCAAAATATTGGCAAAAGAAATGGTTGACAAAATAGAGCTCCACAGTGAATTTAGAATTGGGTTTAGTTTAGTGCCTTGTGGAACTACAGGCTCAGGTTAGTTTTCAAGTGTCATATTCCTATCGAGTATCATGTGTGCAATCCGCCTTTTAAAAAAACAGAAGAATGATAGTTGATTTTCCAGCCAAAAAGAAGAAAGAAGAATCAGAAGAAGATAGCAGAGGAAGAGCATATGCTGCTTTGCGTGATTCTATAACTGTCCTATTGTTAATACAGGTTCTGCGCAGCTGTTCAAAATGTTGAATGTTGGCTTCGTGGAGATGGGAGATTGTTTTGGTATGTCTTATTCTTTATTTTGATTGACAGAAAGCATGCTTCCTGAAGTTAAGGGCTTCTTTACTTCAATTTAAATAAATAAAAAATACCTTTTGTTCCCCCAAATCTAAAGTATTATTCTAATTTGAAAAAGTTATGAACAAACTTTACATGGATCCACGTTTCAACATTTGCATGTTGTGAAAGTTTTAAGTGTTTTAGATTTAGGAAAAGTCAAAGTGCGTGAACTGAAAGAATTTAATTAAGCAAAAAAATAAACAGTAAAAGTCAATCCGGACAGAGCCCAAATCTTTGATGTGAGTACAGGAGCATTCTGTCTTATGTAGTCATAGAGTTTGGTTAGAAACTTAGTTCCACTCTGCATGATGAAGGGTTTATTTTCTTTACTATGCATATTGGGATTTCCAGGTTTCTTGAATCCTTTGCAATCTGTAATTACTAAGAAGAACATATACTTTGGGTTTGAGAATGGTTTTTCATGAAAAAAGAAAAAGAACAGAAAGATAGAGACTGGTTCATTTACCTTCAGTAGATCCATATATGCTATTGTCAGGTCACTCTCACTGTAAACCATATAGGTTTTACCTTCATAAAAAAAAACATTTGTTGCATATCAACTGTCATTTGCATGGTTTTCAGATATTAACTACTCCTTGCCTTGACTTGTAGCACTTGGAGCAATTTTCTCTGCCACAGACTCTGTCTGCACATTGCAGGTAAAGCTGCATTCAGTTGGCGAATGTGTTTTATATTTGGATGACAAGACGGACATTCAAATTAAGCGTTCAATTTGACGTCCAGGTGCTAAATCAGGATGAGACGCCTCTACTATACAGTCTAGTTTTTGGAGAAGGCGTGGTTAATGATGCTACTTCTGTTGTCCTCTTCAACGCACTCCAAAGATTTGATCTCTCTCATATCACCTCGGGCATTGCCACACGATTTGCTGGCAGTCTGTTCAATTTATTTTTCACAAGCACGTTGCTTGGTGTAGCTGTAAGTTTCTCCTCTCTGTTCATTGTATCCTTGATCTTTTTGTGTTCCCATTATTTTTTTTTTCCGTTGTGCAATTTGAATTTCCTGTTTGTGTTAAACATCAATCCCGTCCTCCCTCAGTGTTTCTCAGTTACTTTTAGTAATGAGAAACACAGATGAAGGACAGCTTAGTGGATGAAGCAAAGTGGTAGCAGATTTATCCAGTTTTCCTCTTAAGTACACTAGCTAATTCCCGTATTTCTTTCTGAAATCTTCAGAGCATATTTTAGGACTTTGGGGATAATGTCTGGAGTTTTAGGTGCTCGGTGCTTGCCATAGATATTAATCCATGATGCATCATTGTCTCAAGCGTTGTGTTTCTGGGATACTAATGCAGTTTTTATAGGGTGACATCTTGTTTGGTTTTACTTGCAGGTTGGTTTACTCTGTGCATATATCATTAAGAAACTCTACTTCGGCAGGTATCCGCCAGGCTTAAGTTTTCTAATACGATTTCTTTAATGTAATGGAAGTCCATCTAAATCATTTCCTCTGGGATATGGAGATGAATGTGGTCCCTTACTAGGAGTAATTTGGTGTAGTCTGCTTTCTGCCTAGATGCAGAGCACCATGGAGTTGTAGCCTGTTTTCTTTCCTGACTTTATATTATTGCCAGTAGGTTATTAGCTGAGATTTGTTAAATTAATTGGCTAAAGTGGTATTATGTGGAGACGAGGATTGCCAATATGATTTATAAGAAAAAGAAGATCTATGGCTTAACATCCTCTGAGAAAGAACAGTAAGCATGTTATAGTAATGAACAAAGTTTGGTTAGACATCCTCATAGGTCGCATCCTGAAGACATAATGAATCAGTTTGTCAGTGACGTATTGTAGACTTTGAGCTCCAGCTGTAGCATAGATGCTGCTCTGGTATCTTCAGAGTAATTTGAATTGATTATCTATCGAATATGATGGAGGCTGAACTGCCAAAGGTGCCATTGCACAATACACTGCTTTAAAAGGGTGCCTCAGAATTTTATTTTCCAATAATCAGATATATAAATTCAAGTCTTTCCGTGTTCATTTGCATCTTGAACTGTTATGAAACTGATGTTGCTGTCTTTCAATTTTCAGGCATTCTACTGATCGTGAAGTTGCTCTGATGATCCTCATGGCTTATCTTTCATATATGATGGCAGAAGTAAGGTTCATATGATTCCTTCTTAGGTGTAGCAAGTTTGGGGTCCAATTGCTTTCATTAACTGAATTTGACTGATGTAATTTTTATTTTCATGCAGCTTTTCTCTTTAAGTGGCATCCTTACAGTATTCTTTTGTGGGATTGTGATGTCACATTACACTTGGCATAATGTGACTGAAAATTCAAGAGTAACAACCAAGTATGTAATTCTCTCCTGTCAATCAATAATGCTATTCTCTGTCCTACAATCTAATTTTTCTTGATGAATGAAATTACAAAAAAGAACAATGCGGGACAAAAAAATAATGCAGATCCTATTCTGGGTTCCATTTTATGCAGGCATGCTTTTGCAACAATGTCATTTATCTCTGAGATTTTCATCTTCTTGTACGTTGGCATGGATGCCCTGGACATCGAAAAGTGGAGATCCGTAAGCAAGAGGTAGTGCTCGAATATTTACAACAATTACATTATTGAATTGGCCGCGATAGTTTGTTGCAGGATCTCTGTCTAGTTTATCGATCTGCTTCTCTCCCTCCTTTGCCCTCTCTCTAAGGGTGCACTTTTATGCTTGCTCGCATTTTGTTGGTGTGCGTATAGGTGAGATGCGAGTGCATCACACAAAATTATTCACAAGTATACACTTTACTCTCTAATACTAGTATTCTTACTTTTGCTGGGATGTCTCCTGGGTTAAGGTCCTCTTTTGGTTCTTTATATGTTGCTTTTGTTGACGAGAGGTCTTTTTCTTCCTTTGATGAATTGTGCAGTCCAGGCACGTCAGTTGGAGTGAGCACCATACTGCTTGGCCTAGTTGTCCTTGGGAGGGCTGCTTTTGTGTTCCCCCTGTCCTTCATTTCCAATTTAACTAAAAAGTCTCCAGATGATAAAATCAGTTTTAAGCAACAGGTCGGCTTTTCTAGTTCCAAGTAATTACCTTTATTAACCATCATATGAGCCAACAAATGATGGAAACCATAACAGGTGACAATATGGTGGGCTGGGCTCATGCGAGGGGCTGTATCAATGGCACTTGCTTATAATAAGGTATCACTGGGAAAATTTTGACTTATTAATGACGTTGGCTATATATTGTTAGGGTGATGCCATAGTTCCTTTTCAATCAGTCTAGTCTTAACGTAGATACAATGCAAAGGTTGGCCAATTGCATTGTGCCCTTCAAAATCAAATACACCCGTCTGCATGCATAGAAACAGAGCAATTGTATGATTTTTATTTATACGGATACAGTCACTATAGTCAATGTGGTTATCTTCCTGCATTTTTTTGTTATCTCAATTTCACGTGTAGCCCAACATTATGCGCTTTACTGATGTAACTGCTAACGTAGTTTTGTTAGGTAGCATTCCCTTTTGTATGTAGTCCGTTGTAACTTATAAGATAAGTATGTTTGCCAAACTGCTACTGCCAAATCTATATCTGGAAGAAAATTAAAAAGTTGACGATATTACCATCCTCGATATCTGTGGTGGCTCTGTGGAGTTTTTTTAGTTTACTTTGTCTTATGGTCACATAAACTTGACAGAGAACCCCTTCTAACATCCTCATATGCTTCTTAGGCTAGACTTTGGGCCACGTTTCAGTTTTCTTGGGCACTATCTGAGTATGAGCATGTTGCCTTCCTGTCAATAAGTATTTCCTCATGTCTTCTTAAGATTTCTTGGACAAAATTTTGTCCATCTCCTATTCCTCATCCAGATGATTTATCCACGATACACTGAAGCTGCATTCCTATATTTGAGTGTTGAATGTGCTAAGCTCACATTTCAACTTTCACACAGTTTACCAGATCAGGCCATACGCAATTGCGAGTAAATGCTATCATGATCACCAGCACCATCTCAATAATCCTCTTCAGCACAGTGGTAAGGGCAGTGGTTTATTTTAGCGGACTCTGGCACAATAGTACGTATACATGTATAATTTCGTCAAGTTAGAATCTGTGTGGGATATTCATATAATCCAATGGGGCTTCAGTTCACAGGCCATGTATTCCGCAAATTAAGCCTCTATTGCATGAGCAAGAAATCTGAATGGCCATTAAGCTAGATTATAAATTAATTGGAAGGTGGGAAACGTTAGCACAAATTAAGGCTTATGGTTTCTGGACTGGATGGAGGTGCAAACCCATCTATTCAGAGCCATCTCTTGTTTGGGTACCCGGCTTTACCACAGGTGATCCTAAAGAAGCCTGCATGGGCCTCAATTTAAGGATCAGTATGTCTATAGTATGAGCTTCTGTAAAAAACTTTAGACCGCACACTCTTTTTAAGAACTATGAATTAACAGCGACAAATCTGATGTATAGACTATTCTCCTCTTTTGTTGCAGGTGTTTGGGTTGCTGACCAAACCTCTAATAAGATTCCTGCTGCCCCTGCGGAAGCCTTTGAGTAGCATGGCGGAATCTGAAGCATCCTCACTGAAATCTCTTACGTTGCCTCTACTCGAAATCGGTCAAGACCCGGAAGTTGCTATGAACGGCCAAAACGGTACAACCCGTCCGAGCAGTCTACGCATGCTCTTCACAACTCCTACTCACACCGTGCACTATTACTAGCGTAAGTTCGATAATGCTTGTATGCGTCCGGTGTTTGGAGGGAGGGGCTTCGTGCAATACATCCCGGGCTCGCCGAGAGAGACGGTCGTCAGCTGACAATCCTTTGAAATACCAGAAATTTCATAATTTTGATACGCTTCGTTACACAGTGGAGCGACCCCGTGCATATATAGTAAAGGTGGGTCTGAATGCTCCATTACACGGCACTCTTTCAGCCTATTGATGAGTCTCGAGGCTGAAAATCCTGGCTTCTTAGGTTAGCAACTAATACGTGCGGATGACAGACTATGAAAATACTTATATTGGGAAAAAGATGAAGGTATTGCAGCAAACACGTTTGAGCTTTCTGCTAGTTTTCTGATGTGGTACCCAATTTCTGGGGTTGGTCTACCTTCATGGGATTCTAGCCCAACAGAGATGCCAAGTATTTGAACATTGGTTTATAACATCGTTATATCAATTAAATAAGCAGCTCCTTAATATTCTGTGTCGAATATGTCGCGTGAACCATTTCATTTTAAACGCCTTACGGTCTTGCACGTCAATTAGTGTATCGATTTTGTAGACCAATCTTAAAGCAACCACCATTGTACAGATGGTCTCCGCTCTCGTTCTGATTTTCCTTCCCTTTCTGGGGACCAGGATCCGGTGGCTGCATACCCCCGATCGGCGACAGCACAGTCCTTGTCCCATTACAACTAGTGCCTTACGAAGGAAAACAACTTGACTTTTTTGGTTTTCGGGCCACGAATGGAAGCAACCGATTCCATTATTGAATTTGTCGATTCTAGAATGACTTGGACCTTCAGCTTCTTTGGCCATGCGCAGTTGTACGCATCATACAAAATGACCTGAGACATGGCTATTTCCATTGTTTTACCAAATGGCGGATTCGGATGCAAGCTAGCTCACATATATCGTCGGACGAAGGGTATCCACCGTCTGATCAAACGGCGCGTGTTAGCATCGCGTGCATGCGATGCCTGCTGAAATTTGTCATCCACGGGGACAATGACGCAGCGATGCGCGAAATAGCTGCTTCAGTTTTTCATCGAAGTTGTGTTTGTCATGTTGCTTTTTTGTGTTTGTGGGTTGAACGGAGCTTGTGTCATGTTCAGGATGTGGCCTCTACATTCCAGAATATGTCTTGCGTAAACGACCCGCATCGAATGTTTTTCCCAAGATGATGCGTGAAGTCAACACCTCTTAATTATCTCTTGTTTTGGGGCAGAAGAGAACAGAACAATCATAATGTCACGAGTACGAAAGAGAGAACTTTTTCCGTCCTCGATGCACACGACAAGACACCTGGGCCACGGTTCACATTTTTTTGGAGAAAAGTAACAAAAACCCCCAAAATTATTACATTTATACTAATTTAATTTTAAATTTTTAATTGAATTAATTTAGTCATAAATTTTTTTCGTATCGGTTCCAATTTAGCCGAAAATTACTAACACGAACATCGGCCGTCCTTCGTGATACGACTGGCTTTGATATGGACATTGTCTTTTCGAATTTTTTATTAATTTTTATTTTTTTTCTTCTCTTTTCCTTCTTTTTTTTTTCTTTATTCACTCCGCCAGTCGCCAGGCTCCTACAGCCGCCGGCAAGGGCGAGGGCTAGATGAGGCTGTTCCTCGCCAAATTCGGCAATGGGACACTTGCCCAATCCATGCCCCACTCTTTGCCAGATCAAGTGAGACCTACGAGGCCCTCGCCCAGCCCTCGCAATCACTGGCGGTCATCACGGAGGCTGGCAATTGGCGAAGGAAAATAAGGAAAAAAGAAAAAGAGAAAAGAAAGAAAGAAAAAAAAGAAGGAAAAAACGAAAAGAAAAAAATCAAAAAAATATTTAAAAATTTCAAAAAAATGTCCTTGTCAGTGCCAGTCGTGTCACATAGGATGACCGATATCACGTCGATAATTTTTAACCTAAATTGACCAGATGAACTCAATTGGTATCAATATAAATAGGTTTAGAATTATATTGGTCTGATTAAAATGTTTATGATTGAATTAATATCAATACAATAATATGTTTATGACTTTTTTCATACTTTTCCCTTTTTTTTTTCCTTTTTTTTTCTCACAATACTCCAAACTTTTCTCATATTACATAAGAAATCTTAAACGTTGGACCCATGTTGCAATCAAGTCCCGATCCATTCTTTTGACGAAACAAACCTATCTTCAATAAATAAATTCCAAGCTCTTAAAAATCCCGCCATTCATCTCACAGATGAGGGAAGACGCAAGCTAAAGTACCGGTGGTTGATCCAAGCAAAGACAATATTTTTACTTGACACGGGTCATGTGCCTAATCTACATACAAGCCGCGCCTTCATCATTAAGTTCTTGCATGTGACTAGAGCCACCGTAAAGAAGAAGGTATTTCATACGATGATGGCAATACACCACATGACAGCGACACGTGTTGTACTAAGCTTATAAAATACGAGCGGTTCTAAATTTCCGAAGGCAAATGTGATGTCAGGTATATCGGGCGGGCGGCGGTCAAAATAATCGGTCGATTCCTTTCGAGTACTCTCTCTCTCTCTCTCTATGAGATGTGTGGCTGTATGGGGTCGGAATGGTCATGGCGGAACAAGATATTTTAGCATGGGTGGTCCTCCTTTGGCGGTCGCCGTGAGTTTGACGGATGTATTGGACGGATAGACATGCTATTTTCACATTAGACTTTTCCTAAGATCAGCCATATGTGTCTATCACGTCTCGGTCTCGACTATGCAGATTTCAATTAGGTTTTCGTAATTATCTTAGCAGCTGTTATTTGAATGAAAAATCTTTAAAAAGGGTGCGCTTAGAACACGACTTACTTTGAAAATTTAAACAAATCCACTGAAGTATGTGATCGTTTTTTTAATGTATGTTATTTACAACTTTCAAAATGTGTGTAAGTAAACATACCGTGGTACTATTTACTCTCTTTTTGGCCACCTATTAAAAAGATCCTTGTTTGCATAAGATTTGTAGAGACTAGGTAGAGCTTTACTTGATGAACATGAACGGGATAATTCATATGCTGGATGGCTCTCGTCCACCCAAGAGCGTACTATTGATATGGTAATCCTACGGGGCCAATAATGATTGTAGGGTTTGGTGCAGCTTACCTTAAAAAATGATTGATATGCTACACCTGCATCGTCGGAAATGATTGCTTGAATTCAAGCATATCGTATCGAGTCTTTACTGTCGTTGATCATGTAAATCTACATGGAACATATAGGGCTCACATAATCAATTGCCAAGATAAAACAAAAACAAAAAAAATCCATGCGCCACCAGCAACCCAAGAAATCGAGGTGGGAAAGAGGGGCGAAGATTATACCTATGATGTCAACTTTAGGTCAAATTCTAATTATGTCCCAAACTTTTTTTTTGTCTAAAAAGAATCCCAAATTTTCGCTATAATCTTAAATCTTCCCACACCTCCAAAAATCATCACCAGGATCTTCAAAATTATCAACACCAGCTGAGTTAGATATTCGTTATCAAAACCTACGTCTTCATCAACACCCTCACATTCATGTGGAACAACAGCAGCCTCCTGATGTTGCAATCTTGAAGGGACCGATGACGATTTCCAGACATGTGAGCAGATTTGAGACTGAAGTAAAAGTTGAGGATTTTTTCGAGATAAAAAGGAAATTCGGGAGCAAAATTGAGATTGGACCTGTAATTAAGGTCTTTTTAGGGAGTTAGCCCTACTTGTGATTAAATTTAGGATTAATATCACAAAAAACCCTAATCTAGTACACCTGTAACAAATTTACCCTAAATTCATTTTTTCGCCAAAAATCTCAAATCGATATACTTGTGACAATTTGCCCCTAACTAATATGGATTTCCACGTGGACTTGCCAGTCACATTTGATCTAACTCAATAATTTCACGGTAAAATTTGACTAAAGCTAACGAAAAGTAAACATGTCACTGGTATACTAGTTTGGAGTTTTGGAGACTATAAAATTAGTTTAGGGTAAATTTGTCGTAAGTGTACCAGTTTCGGATTTTTGATGACCCAAAATTAATTTTTGGTAAATTTGTCACAAATACATCAGTTTGAGGTTTTTCATGGTATTAACCCTTAAATTTAAGCAATTTTTTGGGACCAACAAGGGGCGGGGGGCCGCCACTAGCCCGTCATAGCTTAATAAATTTTATATTCGTCATTTTGATTTCGTTTGTTTCGCGGAAAATGTGACATTTCTCAAAAATATTTTCCAGGAAAATAATAATATTTTCTGGTGTTTGGCTGAAACTTGAAAATGAACTGAAAAATATTTTCCGCTGTTTAATTAGGAAAACCTAATTTGATTTTCCTAAATAGACATACCTTATCTAGGCACGTACGGGCCAGGGCCCTCGGGTTCGGCCTTGATGGACCCCGACCCTTCCCACACACGAGCACAAGCATCGATCCCAGGTCTAGTCTCGATGGACTCGGGCGCTAGGGACCAGGGCACGGGCTCCGGGGTACTGGGGACTGGAGCACAGGACTCGACCTTAATAAACCCAAGCCCGGCCTTGATGGAAAGGGGTGCAGGCATCGGGGTTTCGAGCCCGGCCTCAATGGACTCGGACGCGGGTGCCAAGGTGTTGGACCCAATCTCGATGGACCCGGGTCCGTTGCCAAGAGTCAGGAACAAACCCAAACACAGAGTTTATGGTATAAGTGCCGATATCTAATCATATTTTGGAAAATGATTTCCGATTTTTTAAAGAGGAAATTATTTTCCTGAATTTAAGTATAGATTTTCAGTTGACTATGAAAACATGTTCCGTTGACTCATTTCCCTAAGCAATCCAAACTTCGGAAAATGAGAAAAATCGCGAAACAATCGGAGCCTTAGTTCATCCTCTCTCAAGCTTCTTTCTCAAAAGGTATTTGCTTTGGAGAAATGACTAAGTGACAGTCTTTAATCTACTGTTAAATTAATATTATGTTTTGGATCACAAAAAAATAGATAACAAATAATTATAAATGGAAAATACTTGTCTGTTTTTTTTTTTTTTTGTCTATCCTACACTAACTCTCAACTCACTCTTAAACTTTTGCCCAATTCTTGCAGGGCGTAGGAGTCGAAACCCACATATGAACCTACACGTCCCAAACCCACATATGAAACTACACGTCCCCATCCCTATCCCCTCTAATAAGGTGGGAAATCAAACTCCTCACCTTCCACTTTTCAAGTAAGAAGGGTGGCCACTGGGACAAATCTTAATGGTTGAAAATGCTTGTCTAAACGTGAAATAGAGATCTGTATTTTGCTTTGAAATTTCAAGAAAATTTTGTGACTATCCTTTGATCGTCACACCGTCATGCTGTGGAGGACAATGATGCTAGCACAATCTATTATAAATTATTATGAGATCTATTCTTTCAATAATTTATGACTCACAACATGTTACTCATACTTTAATTCAAAAGCTGTTATGCTGATAAAACCTTTGCTTTCTATTCGGAGCATGCACCCAAATATATCTAAAGACAACTCAAAAGAGAGATTTCATGGTGGCAAACCTGCAACGTTGATGCTGCGGCTCCCACATGGCACATATGACTCCCCCTTTAATACTACTTTATGACGTACAATGATATGTCTCTCCTCTTCCCTATCTTCACCCTCTCTCTCTCTCTCTCTTCTCTCTCCCTCTCGATTCAAAGTAGGGCAATGGCGAAGCTAGAGTCGGGTACGCCCGAGTCGACGCAGCTAGTTTTGCTCTCTACTGCACATTTGGCTGCGTTGAAGATGATTTAGCTCCGTCGCCGATGGAGACAGAGTCGATTGGCTCCGTGGAGAGGGAGATAGAGAGGCAGAGTTGCGGTGGTGGCGGTGGAGGCGGAGGTGGTGGCGGTGGCGGTGGCGGTGGCGGGTTTGTTTAGGATCGAAGGTTATTTGAAAGAATGGGGTAGCCTCAACTGCAACTCAAACAGCAAAACTTTTCTCAATATAGTTTCATTTTTAACATGGGATATTCGAATCTTTTGGCTAGACTATTCCATCCTGGCTATGCACACAAATCTCTGGTCCTCCTGTATGGAGTAATATTTCGCGACATAGATCGATGCAATCAACCCCGAAGTTTACACTAACCGGAACTCGCTACAAACGTTCTTTACTATTAATATGGAGCTATAAAATCTTATTAAACTTGGGATCCAAAGGGATTGCATGTATTTTCCAAAAATTATCATATGAAATGGAACTTCAATCATTGAAAATGATACGAGTCCCATGCCCAGGCAAACAAGGGAGGAGACTCCAAGTAGTAGTAGGGGTGTGCAATGGAATCTAGAACTGCTCGGATCGCTCGAAACCAGATCGGATCGGCTCGGAACCGGCGGTTCTCGTGAGGACCGGTCCGATTCCTGGTTCTAATTTACTAAAATCGATGAGTACCGGTCCGGTTTCCAGTTCTAGTCTAGACTGGATCGGTAATATATAAAATTTCAACAAAAAAAAAAAAGCGAAACATTTTTAGACAAATGAAAACCATTAAATCCCTAACCTGAAGCTCGACTTTCAACTTCCATCAACTTACGACCACACCTCTAACCGTCCATCGCCTCCCTTTCTCACTCTCAGTCACCTTTATTTACATAAAACTTGGTGGGTCCATGGAACAACAAGCGATTCCTAATTTCAACTTTGCGAAATCGGTCCTTAGTTGACGGTTCCCGATTCCATGTTAGGGTCCGCCCGCTTGACCATTCTCACCCCTAAGTAGCAGTAGGGTCCAGACGCACTCCTCCATCCTCACATTCACCATTAACAATCGTAATCCTCTTCTTTACTGCTCTCTCTCTCTCGACCACTAAAACATGAACGAAGAAGCGGAAGTGATCATAGTCGGTGGTGGCCCCTCCGGCATCGCCGCCGCGGGGGCCCTCTCCTCCCTCTCCATCCCCTTCCTCCTCCTCGCGCGGGCCGACTGCTTCGCCCCGCTGTGGCAGCGCCACGCCTACGAACGCCTCCACATCCACCTCCCCAAGCACACCTGCCAGCTCCCGCACGTGCCGATCCCCGCCGACTGGCCCAAGTACCCTCCCAAGTCCCTCTTCGTCCAGTACCTCCAGCACTACGTCGCCCACTTCCGCATCAGCCCGGTCTACAACCGGTCCGTTGAGTCCGCCCGCTACGACGAAGCCTCAGGGCGGTGGCACGTGGCGGCCAGGGACGTGTCGGCCGGCGGCAAGGGGGCGGTGGAGGAGTACAGCACGAGGTTCCTGGTGGTGGCGACCGGCGAGAGCTGCGACGCGTTCGTGCCGGAGGTGGAGGGGCTGGGGAGTTTTGGCGGGAAGGCGATGCACTCGACGGAGTACAGGAACGGGAAGGAGTTTGCAAAGAAGAAAGTGCTGGTGGTCGGGTCGGGCAATTCGGGCATGGAGATCGCGCTGGATCTAGCCGACCATGGTGCCATCACCTCCATCGTCGTCCGGAGTCCGGTGATTAATTACATGCTTTTCTCCATATACGGAGCACGCACGCATGCATACGTTCACCGTGCTATACACTAATACCCACGTTATGTGATCTTTCCTCATTTGGAGTATAGAAACACATTTTATAGACATGTTCTCCGTATACAATGGATACACAACCGATCATGGTGCATGATTTATATGAAAAATCGAGATTTTTTGTGAGATTGAGCGTGAGTTTTCGCATACTTTTAATACGGGGATGATTGATTTATAATAGAATACGTCTAGATGATATGAAGCTCATCAGAGTGAAAAATATAATTCCATTGATTGCGCTCTAGCTTTTTCTTATAGGCTACGTTTGGTACCGAGAAATAAGATGGGTTCGAGGAAATATACCACACATAAGGTTGTTCATGGTGATCACTGAGGTTGTGGTCGCAACCACACAAGCGCACACATGCGTGTGCAAGTGCGAGAGAGAGATCTTTCCAAGCTCAGAAATGAGTTTTACGCTTGCTGTAAGGAGTGCGATTTAATCTAGTTTAGGAAACGAGTTTGATAGAAAATATTGGAACACTTTCGGGCGAAATATTGAGGTTGGAACATGAAATTACCGTTGGATTTGCTTGATAAGATAGGAGGTTAATGTACTTATGGTGCATATGTGGATCAAATCTCTTTGTATGGAGGCGTTTCGTGGCTTTTCTTCTTCACTGTTTTATGTTTTTTGGGCGATTTGCGTGACTTTGCAGGTCAACTTTGTAACAAGGGAGATGTTGAACTGGGCGGTGGTGATGGTGAAGTACTTGTCCTTCAATTGGGCCGAGAGATTGACGATGATCGCGAGCCGCCTGTGGTTCGGGGACATGAGCAAGTTCGGCATCCCGAAACCCGAGGAGGGCCCTTTCACCATGAAAATGAAGTATGGCAAGTACCCTCTTGTCGATGTTGGCACTTGCAAGAAGATCAGATGCGGAGAGATTCAGGTACTCGTGTCTTTTAATTATTATCATTAAGGATTTTGCAAGGAGATATGAGAAGTTTTAAGCTATTGTCTGAACAGTTTCACTGATTGCAAGATTGATATAAGGTGAATATGTCATTAAGGCATGTTTAGTAACGTTTCTGTTTCTTTGTTTTTATGTTCTTTTATTCCAGAAATAGAAAAAGAATAGAAATCCGTTTAGTAACGTCAGTTAATTTTTTTGTTTCCCGAAACATAAAAGTGGTCAGAAAATAGATTTGGAACAGAAATAAGAAGTAAAAAAAATATTCTTTTATGTTTCTGGAACAAAAAGAGAAACAAGATCAGCTTCTCATACTAAACCCTAAACCCCAAACCCTAAAACCCTAAACCTTAACCCTCAAACCCTAAGCCTTAACCTTTAAACCCTAAACCCCAAAACCTTAAACCTCAATACCCAAACCCTAAAACCCATAACACTAAAATTAAAAACTCGAAACCCTAAACCCCAAATCCTAAACCCAAAAACACCTTAAAATCCCAAACCATAAACCCTAAAACCTAAACCCTCAAATCGTAATTTCAAACTCTAAATCCTAAAACGCTAAACCGCAAAATCCCAAACCCTAAACCATAAACCCCAAACCCTAAACCTTAAACCCTAATACCCAAAACCCGAATCCCTAAACCACTAAACCCCAAATCTTTAAACCCGAAACACTAAACCCAAAACTCCAAACCCGAAACTCTAAAAGCTAAACCCAAATCTTAAACCCTAAATCCAAAACCTAAAACCCGAATCCTTAAACCACTAAACCCCAAACCCTTAAACCTGAAACTTGAAACACTAAACCCAAAACCCCAAACCCGAAATCCTAAAACCCTAACCCCTAACCCCTAACCCCAAATCCTAAAATCCTACATCCTAAAATGCAATTTCCTTAACCACCACCCGATATTTGCTTTATCTATAATGAGTAATTTTCTTTATAATTATATTAAGGTCATTCAATTCTATATCATAATATATTATTATTCTATTTCTAATCCAATTTTATCCAAACATGAATTGTTAAGTCTCCTAAACTGCAATTTCATCGACCACCACCTAGTATTTGCTTTGTGAGTAATTTTCTTTATGATTGTATTAATATCATCCAATTCTATATCATAATGTATTCATATTCTATTTCTAGTCCAATTTTATCCAAACATGAATTGTTAAGTTTCCACCGATAATTTTATAATTAAATAAAAAAATTGGGAGTAGAAATTTTTAGTGTCCTATCAAACGTATTTCTGTTCTTTTTCTACTCCGGGAATAGATATTTTTTGCAGTTACTAAACGTGTTTTTTGTTTAGAAACTTGTCTAGGGAATAGAAATAGAAAAAGCTATTTTTGAATAGAAATTGATTTTGGGAATAGAAACGTTACTAAACAAGACCTAAGGAGCTTGAGATTTGCTTGAACTTGGACGACATGTTACATTCTTCTGCAGGTTTTGCCAGCAGTCAAAAGCATAAAAGGCAACGAAGTGGTGTTCGAGAATGGACACTCGCATTCGTTCGATGCCATTGTGTTCGCCACCGGCTTTAAGCGGCCGACGAAACAGTGGCTCAAGGTCAAGGTACCCGGCTCTCTCTCGAATTTGTCGTTCACTTCATGACGCAAAAAGATAGCTTTACCTTCTTTCTTCCTTTCCAATTTTTGGTTAAGAGATATGGTTGTACTCAATGTTAATTCGATGGCTTCCAAAACAGTATTAAAAATTTCTTGTAGTTGGCACATATAGCTGATTTGAGTACAGTGGACGGACGGTAGATGTGCCGATACTTTGTAAATGATTGTCCGGGACTATGATCGACTGACTGTTCACATAGAAGTTATAGAGCAGATCATGCAGTTCTCACTTTGTTTCCCTTCCTGATGACAGGAAGAGGATTGCCTGTTGAACGACGATGGAATCGTGAAGCCGAGTTGTCCAAACAAGTGGAAAGGAAAGAATGGCTTATACTGCGTGGGACTGTCGAGAAGAGGGTTCTTGGGAGCTGCTCACGACGCCCAAAGCGTTGCGAACGACATCAAGGGGCTTCTGTGATGTCGCCCGGTATGGCAAGAGAATTGCTGCCGAAACCGTTGCAAGACAACTGCAATTTGATACATTGAATAAATTAAAAGTTGGGAGACGATATTGCACATTGAACCAAAATTCAAAAATTCTGTGTGTCATTTTCCCTTCTTTTACGATAACATGTAGCACACATTCCTTTATCAAAACGATGTTTATCAATAGTTAAGACATCGATGGAAATACCATGGCGGGTAGATGATCTTCTTCCAACTTGCTTCCATACACTCACCTTGTCAATGTTGAAGGCAAAAAGAGAATAATCAACCAAGGATAAAACTAGGAGCGAAGAAGCAAACTGTAAACACTTTCAAAGATCAGTCAACTTTGATAAGGCTAGATAAACTTGCACCGGTGAAAGTGAATTCAAAAGTGCTATAGCAAGGTAACAGAAAAAGATATGCATATAACAATTCAAGTATTATTAAAAAAATTCATTCATTACGATCTGTTCACGATCTGTTCGACCCGAGATCTGGAATTACTCGGTTGTCAAAATTTAAAATAAAAAAAAAAGACTACGATAATTTACATGTAGAACCGCTCATAATTCGATCTCTACCTGATAAAAGAAAAAATTGATCAAGAATCACACAGGCTCGAAAAAATAATATCATCCTTATCGATGATGCAACCCTGCCTCTAGTAGAGATGCTATAAGGGTGAAAAAAATTAGGCCGACTTCGACTGTCAGTTAACTATGCCCACAAAATTCCATCATTCCCGATTTCCAAACTTGAAACTGGGCTATCGCCGAAATCTTGCTCTACTTTTTCATTATCCGTTAGCAAATCCACATAAGGTTCTAAAAGATCTGAAGATCTTTCGGCTGGAATCCCATAATCTTTGAGAATGCAGGACGAGGCCGCCACAGCTGCTTCTCTCTCCAGGACAGCCAGATAGTTGTCTTCAAATTCAAAAACTAGGTACTTGTCTTTACATGCTAAGAAAACCAGTGAACAAATTAGGAGTGTCATAGTAACCAAGGTCGTATTAAGAAGGGAAAGGGAGCAAATGTCATCACTTACAGTCAATGAGGTGGGCGAGGTGATGAATGTTTTTTATTCGAGTGCCGTTGAACTTCAAGACCTGATAATACTTCCTCTTGAGTACATGACAAATACTAATATAAAAAAGCTAACATACGTGCAGTGCCATATTACCTGTTGATTGCTCATGTCTTCATATCCTATGTTTACTTCGTTTGCCAGCACCTATACATATGAAAAGGGATGAAGAATTACAGTCGTGATTGAATGAGAAGGATCTGGGAGACTGCAAGATATAGTTCTCCAGATGGAATAAGACAGGAAAGGAAAGCAAAATGATTGTTTTTCTTTTGTTTGTTGATGTCTAATTTTCGGAGTAGATTTGATTGGAATTTCATAAAGCCTCGAGGGAAATCATATCATATAAATATAGATACTACTAACCTGCGATAGGATCACAATTTGTTCACCTTTAAACCTTGCCAAAGAATAGCGAGCCTTTGCTAATAATTTTAGCTGCCACAAAGAGCACATGTAAAACTTATTTCAGATGGTTAATTACAAGAATATCCTGTACTTTTGCTCTGAAAAAAAATCATAATTCTGAACAGTACATGATAATATTATTCGTCATATCATCAACCATGTAAAAAGTGTTACTAGAAATGCTTATGACTTACCCCTATAGAATCTTCACACTCTTCACTGTCCAAACAGTAAGAAAAGAATTTTGTCAGACATAATCACAATATAATATTAAATTCAAAATGTGAACATTATATCTAGAAGAATTTCCGGCCGGTGGAAAATTGGACCATACTCTATTAGTGGTTCTGATAGCGGGGTAAAGACCAGACCGGCTGTAATTAGATAAGAAGGCTGACCCCCTTCGATATGATAGGGAACCTACATAAACCATACAGGATTGTCACAAAGGAGAGTTTCAGAAACTATAAAACGTTATGTAGAGATAAAAGTCTATAGTAATTTACCAAATGAACTCGTGGATTCAAAATTACAGGAACTTTCATGAACCCCCCTGCCCTAATAATGCCAAGCTGTGCTACATCACCAGCAAATCTGCGTAACATCACATGTCGTCAATAAAAGCACGAGTATTGAACTGTCTTGACATCTTGGGGCTATAGCTTCTATGAAGGACAATAGTTTCGATTGTGATGACAGAACGCAATGAAAAACCTAAAAGGAGCATATATGCATTACAAGAAATGCATACTAAGAATGGACGGACATAAGAATATGACCCTTTTCTCTTTCTATTAAGGAAAAATAAATTCCTCCCTATATATATTTTGTCAAAAGTTTCAAGTGGCAGTGATAAAACCTGCTTCCTTGACCTTCCATTATGCACGCTAAAGTGTCTCGTCATTCCAAGATGACACTTATACACCACATTATGATAATAAGGCCTATGCAGAGCAAGTACAAATCATTGGCAGCAATCTCACAATTGCGTAATTATAACTGATTTATATGTGAATGACTCCACTATGTAATGCATCTCATTCACATCTCAATGACATAAGAGATGGACATAACTAGTCTTTTGATGACTCAAAACTCCACCACAAAACAAAGAGCTGGGAAGCATGGGAAAGCCCTAAAATGAACAAGATTGAGCCAACATTTGATTGTCGTAGGTACTAGACTAACATGAAGTTTCATGGGAATATCTTTCCCCTTTGACATCTGCTTAGAAGAATGAGCTCCTTACTTCTGACTTATTAGGTAGCGGAAAGCAATGCGCTCAGATGATCGGAATGGCACAGTTCCTTCGCACCCAACATGAACATCATCAAAGCTAGTAATCACATCCCCCTGGAAAAGCATAGATACATGATCACGTGAGTTACTTAGAATACTCCAGCCACATAAGACCATTTTCCCACCTTTTAACCTTTACTTTGGCATACTAGTTCATGGTGTGAATTTGCAAGCCTTTATCCCTTTAAAACATAGTTGATAGCAATTTAATGAACCTATTTAGGCAATCCATGCTTATGACAAGGGGGAAACAATTGACAGAATGAAACATTACAAGCACAACTATTTATACCAAAACCAAGTTGAAGGTTCATTCATGTTGCCTAAACAAAATTTATTTCCTGTAAAGCTCCTTACCTAGAGCTCCAACTTTTGATGGTTAAGAAAAGCAATCAATTGTATAAATAAAAGAGTAGTTGACTGTGTCAAAAGTACTCCATGAGACAGTAGGATACCTCTTTTAAAACATTATTTGCATCAGATGTTGGTTCCACTCTTCGTACCAACACCCCCTGCACATGTGCAATTCTTATGAGGATGGTGTGTAACAACACTAACAGCAGATGCAAGCTCTTGAATCCGCATGAACACAAAAGAAGCGAAAAGTAGCACTAAGGAGGCTGCATTTACTCTTATTTATGACATGCAGCAATTTGCTAATAAAAGGCAGAGCAAATCAGAACTCTGGCATTTTCTGTAGTCTCAGACGCTCTTGAAGATATATAAATTATGAAAACAGGCATGAAACACAAATGACAGAAACAATATCGATGGAGCCAGATGATGGGTTTCAGAAAATTAAAACATGACAGGGAGGCCGTATGTGTAAAACTATGTTTTTCAGTTTATACACAAATAAATTTCCATTAATTTTAGTATGAAAATCAATATAAAACTACAGAAACATTTACAAAATGCCAATTAATTAACGCACGATATTTAAACGGATAAGGACATCATTGGCCTACAAGTAATAGGGTTTTAAAACAAAGCTAGCTTTCACTTCAGATATAGGTTGCTTTCAAGTTACAGGCATAATCTATCCAAATAAAGATACCATTCAATTAATAACTATTGAGCAGAAGATGGGCAAAATGTCATGTGCTACAAATCTAACATCTTAAACATCAATAATCAGGGCGGATAAGAAATTTTATTGGGCTGAATTTATCCCAAAATGATGGACATGTCACTCCATTGCATAGTGATATCAGCCAAGAAGCAAGGTGGGTCCTGAATTATCCGTGTTTCATGCGACAGATGATTGGACATGTTAAATTGCCAGTAACTGCATATTTTGGGGCAGGGCATGCACTCTGATGGATTTGGCTAAAATATGAAAGATGCTGACTGATATAATCTGACCACTGCACCATACATGAACGAATTAACAGCAACTATAGATATGCCAATATCCATCAATAATTGCACAACTTGATCCAAGAAGGCCTTCCTGCAAGTAAATGAGAGATGTACCTCGTTGGACTGTACTTTTAAGCATTCACGTAGAGCTGGATTTTCCAACTTTTGCAGCAAGACTCCAAGACAAGGAAAACCTTCATGAATAAGAAAATTGTTCCATCGATTTAACAGGTTCAGGCCATTTGACAAATTCAAATTGCTACAAAAATAGTGAGGAGAAAATGAAACCAAAACAAGAAGGTTTTTAAGACATTGCAAGAAATGAGTAGCAAGCTATGCCCAATAATCAGAAGGCAGAACTTCCACTTATGTTACATAAAAAATAGAGCTCTAGGTAAGGAGCTTTAATATACTACCAAAGAGCTGCCACAGAAGCCTAAGTACCACCAAGAATAAATTTAACCAGCTTGTAAAAGCTTTGCAGGGGAAGAAACTTCTAGTGATAATCATTGGACAAGTAAGCAAAGTGACAAACTGTGCATTATATGTTACAAGCTTTCAAGCTGATTTAAGCTCCAAAATTTCCACTGCTGATTATGTCAGGCTTGAAAACCATTCACCCAATCATACAGCTACAACTTCATGTTTACGGTACCCTTAGGTTGCTTATGTCTTTTATTCAGATTAAGACAAGGTTAAGAACGGAAGACAACAGAACATGAAACACGCACTCGTGACCACTTAATCCTCACCAGTATATTTCCCATTTCGCTCGTAGTCATTCAAAAAGTGAGACACGACTGTTGTTGGAATCACATAACCAATATTTTCAGCCTCTTCGGATCTGTAAACCTAAAAGAAAAGCTTTGTAAGAACGTTTTATCCAAGAAGAGCTCCATATTGACTTAGCCAAGATAAGAGCACCACAGCTCTTAAGCTAATTTTGCCAGAAGCCATAGATTTACCTGGAATGCTACCCCGATGCACTCTCCTCGATCATTGAATGCAGGTCCACCACTATTACCTACACTCTCGCAAATATGAGCAGAGGCCGGTACAAAAAATGAGTTCCAAGAT